GAGCCGGGGCGGCCGCCCCACTCGGTGCGCTCCCCGCGGTGGCTGCACTTTGCCCACCGGGCGCGGGCAGGGGGCGCGTGGCTTCTGCAGCCCCGAAGGCTCCTTTTGTCCGCCCGCGGCGTGAGGAGTGCGTACCTGGGGCTTTGTTCGGCCCGGAGCGCTCTCCCTTCCCTGCCCTCGGCCTCGCCGCCGGCCCCGTGCCCTCCGGGGTGCTGGGCAGGGACGGCAGCGCCGGCTTGGTTTGGGGGACAGTTGTTTGGGGGGAGGTGGTGAGGGCGGCGCTTTGCTGCCCACTCCAGGGCTCACCAGGCACCCCGGAGTCCAGGACTGAGTGTCCCTGGATCCTCAGAGCTGGGCAGAGGGTGGCAAGGAGTGGTTCGGGCATAGGAGGGAGGCCCTGGGATCGGGTGGCTTTTGAGTTTGAAAGACTTAGGTGGGTTTGGCCCCGGCGCCACTTGGAAGTTCTAGTTTGGGGGCTACTCTCCAGGCCCCCACAGTTTGAGGTAACTCGTCCCCTAAAACCCAGCCCGTAACTGCTTCCACCCGCCGCTCCAGGCAGGGCCGAGCTAGCTGCTCACCTCTGGTCGTGGCCACAATGGGACAGCGCAGACGGGGCTGGAAGCTGACTGGCAAGGTCCAGGAGCTATTGCCCCGTGTGATCTGACACCTTTCCTCTCTCTGTGTGCCCCCTGTCTACTTTCCAGGTTAGCTTTATACGTCTACGAATATTTACTGCACGTAGGAGCACAGAAATCTGCACAGACCTTCTTGTCAGAGGTGAGTGGAACTCCCCCCATCATCCAATTTCTTGACACCCCCTCCTCCCCACTATTCTTAGAGCCTTTGTTTTCAGGAGCAGCCACTGTGGCCACCATTTTGAATTTTTATCACCTTTTGGCATTTATTGTTAGTTGGTCTCCACAGCCTTTTGGCTCCAGGAAGCCCCCAGCCCACCCCTTCCCTCTGCTCCTCTAAGCTATCTCCGTTCATTCCTTTCTAGATTCGATGGGAAAAAAACATCACGTTGGGAGAACCGCCTGGGTTTCTGCACTCGTGGTGGTGGTAAGTTTGTGCGATAGTTTTGTGTGTGTTTGTTTTGTCTGAGTCCCTGGTCCAAGTGAACAAAGACAGGAGGCCTGGAGCAGATCCCCCCATGCCTTCCCTTCAGCATTGCCCAGAGCAGGGCACCTCTGGGCACTCAGGCCAGGACTGGTGAAGGAGGAAAACGGCAGAAGAGGCTGGTGCCTAAAGTTTTTGCCTCCTCTTTTCCGTCCTGTAGAGAGCCTTCTAAATCATGCCCGGTGTTTGGATAGAAACTCCTTACTTTTCCGTCTCACTTGGGGCCACTAGGCAGGCTTGAAAAAACCTTGAAGGATTTTTGTCAATTCTGCATGCTGCTTTA